ATGAGTCACCACTCAGAGGTCTCAGGGCACACGTGTAAACAAAAAGTGTTCCAATGTAGCCTGAACAGAGACATCACTTTACCAGCTCACCTCTGAACCTTGATGAAGTGTCCAATAAATAGGGTCTAGTAAGTACCTACAGTCTGGGCTTGTCTGCCAAAATATATTTTGATTCAGAAATTTCTTATATGAACCATGTAGAAATTACAGGTGTCATGCTGGGCATGGCATTACAAGCCTGGAAACTCAAATGCACTGGAGCTAAGGTAGGAGGATCCTAAGTTCAACACTTACAAACTGTTTCAAAATAAAAAAAAAATACAAAGGGCAAGGGATGTAGCTCAGCTAGAGAGTGCCTCTGGATTCCATTCCTCAGTATTAAAAAAAAAAAATCACAGCTATCAGGCTAATTTCCTAAAGAAACTAACCAATACAGTAAATGATTTGGAAATCTTACAGTTATAAGAAATTTAAGAACTGAAGATGCATTTCCTGTACAGGAGAAGACGTGAAAGAAGTGTAGGGTGTTCCAGAGATGAGAAAAGGAGTCTTGATGCACAGCTTCAAACACCTGTAAGGAAGCCATTTGTTCCTTTATAATATCAAATCCTAAAGTCGAAGCGCAGCCATCAAAGGAGAGTCTCCACACAGGAAAATGGGCTCAACTTCCTGCCTTGCTCTTATTCCCTGAGAGTCCAGTGCCTACCTGGGATCTCTCCCTGCATAGAAGCACAGTTACAAATGGGCTCCACAAGGCACTGTTCCTTAAAAGAGATACCAGATGTGGCCAAGTAACCCTTGTGTTACTGTCTCACAGCACAGCTGAAATTGGGGTAAAAAAGGAAAGAAAACACTTTTCTAAAGTTTGGGGACCAAAAGCACACATAACAATGCAGGGTAACATATGACAAGATAAGGTATATCAAGTTACAGTGAATACTTATATAATTAATCTTATAGACCTCCCTCAATATTGTTTTCCTAGCTCCATTTACATATGTAACACATTATTTATTGCATAATACACCCTCCTGGCTTTTATTTTTAAGTGAGAGGTATGCTCTTCCAGGACAGCACGTTGGAACTTGGGTATGGGGTTCTCTGCAGTGTCTCCCCTGAAATTGAGAGTCAATGTTCATACCATTCCACCTGGAATCATCTTTAAGCACCTACAGATTCTACATAAAGGTAGAAATACAGAGGGTAGTAGACAAAAAGTGCACAGACCAACCTTCTTCCAGAACATCTTCTGAGTATTTTATAATGAGAATCTGACTGGCTAACTTCACTCCCTTTCCAGCTAGTCAACAGAGAGAAATGATTCTTCACTTATCTCTTATGCTGAAGACTCAAGGGAAAACAAGATGAATCAAAAAAACAAAACAAAACAAAAACAGTAGTTCCCAACATTGTAGGCCAATACGTAGGACCTATAGGTCTTTATTATTACAATTATCTATTTTTTTTTTTAAGAGTCAGATATAGACTAAAATATCAGATGTATTCCAACATTTAGCTATGGATAGAAGTTGAAGCCCAAGCAAAAACTCTGAAAATATCATGGCCAGTTTGTGTGTAAAACAAAGAACAAGGTTAGAAAATACCTCATTAGTGACTAAAGGGAGAAATGCACTTTAATAAAATTTAGTAGGCCGGCATCAGAGCTGGGCATTAGACATTTTGTCAAAGGAAGAGTATAACACCCCTTTTGTTTAACTGGCCTCTTTAAGTGGACTAGACGACTCATTTTATCTCCCTCATAAATCTATGCCAGCAGCAATCATTTAAAAAACTACACTTGTTTACTATCGGTTTCTGACACGGACGATGCATTAATACCAAGAGAAATCAGCATGTGTCATAAACTAGACTGACCTTGCAGAGCTGAATCACGGTCCAATTCTCAAATTTGTAAACACTGTCAATTTAAAGTGATGGTGTCAGGGAAAAACAAAAGAGCAAAGGAGCACACTAATCACACTTTCATGGGCAAGCATTACACATCTCTATATATGAAAAGAAATTCTCAAATCATTTCTACCAAAGAAAACTTTAGCACGTTGTAAAGCACACCAATTAAGGACAACCTATAGACTCTATGGTGTTCTCAAAGCCCTTAGAAAAATTCTTTTACTACACAAGGAAATAATACATCTGTGCAGTTTTATAAAATGTGATTTCTACCCTGAGGGCTTGTAATTGTAAGAGAATAAAAGACTGCTAAAGACATAAGGTCAGAACAGAGAGAGTTTCTCCGGGATATTTTATTGGTTCTTTTCTTCCACCTTACGATGAGTCACAGCTCCTTTGTGTAAATGATGACGGTTCTGCTTAACATTTGTGGGAAGAACAGGAGGAATTATTATTAGTTTTGCCTCAAGGAAACCATAAAGAGAATTGCCTTCACCATGTTCCTGTGTGGAGAGGCATGACCTTCAACTCTCACTGCAAAGCAGCCTACGCTTGGGATGGGAAAGGAACCTGGAACTGCACCTATCACAGTGAACTCCTGAGTGAAATAACTTAGTGGCTTTTAATCCTGTGCAACCCTCTACCCTCCCCTCTCATCCACGAAGAACAACAGAATAACCATCAATGTTCTTTCCCTGAAAAACATATGCTCTTCATTTTCATGACTTCCTTGTCAAAATTCCTTCTCTTCCACCTCAAGGTTGATGACTTCTATCAGGTCACTCCTGAACAATGTTTCATGACATCTATTTCTTGATGCCCCCCCCCAAAGTCTTCAAACTTAACACCATGAGCATATCTCAAACCAAACCTTCTTCCACTCCCCAAAACCTTTCTTCCTCCAGACACAATTTCTTCCTTGCTTTATTCCCACTGCGCACTGATCTCTGTTCATTTTGACTCCTTACTCTTTTCTCCATAGCCAGGGATGCTCATTTTGCTCCCCTTGCCTAAGTGATAATGAGCATTATAATTTTTAGCATGCATTGAGCACTTTATGTGTCAGTCGCAATGCCAAGCACTCTATATGTGTGACTTCATTATGTTCTTACTATACTCTTAGGACATGGATACCATTACTGTTCCCATTGGAAGATGTGAAAACGGTACTCAACATTACAGAGCTAGTATGTGGCAGGCTGAGAATTTAAATCTAGTTTGAAACCAGTGCTCTCACCCAATGTTCCTCCTTGGTCAATTCAGCATTTCAAGGCTTAGTGTGTTTGCCCCTCAGTGAAGTCCTCCCAGTCTTCCACGTCCTTTCTTCTCCTAGACACTCAGAATTTTCCATCTACATTCATTACAGTTCCAAATGTCATTCACACATTGGACAATTTATTAGTTCCTTCAACAGAGGTATTTGGAATGCATACTCCACAGGACATGGTACTGTATGTAGAGTGAATGAAAATGAAGTAGGGAATGAAGCAAGTCAGGTCCTGGCCTCCTAGAGACTAGTAAAGCAATAGGCATAGATATATGCCATAAAACCCCAGATGATAGTTGCTATGGAGAAACACTTTGGATACATAATTTTGGATACATAAACATAATATGTCTGTCTCTAAGCATCATATGAGTATATAACAGTCACAATTATATTTTAATTTTTTTAATTTTCCCACTACTAATGTATTTCCAAGTTTATGGGCAGTTGGTGTTGCATTAATAAATTTTGGGAACTATTTAGGTTAGAAATTAAATTTCAAATTGGAAATTGAAGTCAATCTTGTAGAAATGGGATCATAAAACCTTTTAGCATCATGACGTGAGTTTCAGAGAGAAGACATAAATATTATGAATGAAAGAATAAAATTGGATTTGACAAGAGGCAAGGTTCTCTCAATGTAAATCTCTCAATTCAGGAATGTACTTGTTTAATTTGATATAGTATGAGTTGACAATGTTCAGAACACAATGAAAAGCTCTATTACTCGAAATTTTTCCAGCTGAGGTTGCTGAATTAGTGCTTCAAAGGATAAATGAATGTGAAAATGAGTTCTGGTTACTGCGTCTTGATTGTACTCTGTTCAACCTTTTCCCATCTGCTGATTACACAATAATTAACAAGTGGTCGTTACAAAGAGCTATGTATGAAAAT